ATACAGAACTGGCCAGAAGTGCAGGGGCAGTGAGAGGCTTCACCACAGACAGAGTGGGGAGTAGAACAGGCAGATCAAGGAAGTACACTGCTGAGGGGAGCAGCGGGTGGGTCAGGAGAGGATTGCGGCACCAGGTGGATCACCTCCAGGGGCATCAGGGATCGAACTCGCACTGAAGTGGCTGCTACTCACTTGCAGTGCTGGTCCTAACCCTTTTTGCCACCAGGGAGGGCCATCCCTGTGCTTTCTGTGTTCACCAAATTCTTATCTATGTCCTAGTGTTCTTCCCCCCACCAAAAAAAAAACAACAACGACATTAGGAGTCAGGTGACCAGATGCTATTCCTGTAGGCAGCACACTTGGCCTACATTCCTGAAATGAGACAGATATGGCAGTGGGGGTGGGACAGGAGAGCCAGGTATTAGGTCAGAAGAGACAACTGTGGCTCACAAGTCTCCTTGTCATAGTGGGCATTCAGTCCCGGCAGGACTTGGCATTATGGTACACCCCCCCCCTTCTTGGCCTTAACATCCATTTCACTGCCAAACAGCTGAAGGGGGAGGCAGCTGGGATACTTCATGTCTGGACTCAAGACCCCTGAAAGTTGTTTTTTGAAAGATTTCAGACTTGTTCACAGTATCTAAGCCTAGCTCTTAGGAGTTGGTGGTTGTGTCTTACAGCCCCAGCTTGGGAGCCTAGTTAGTTGAGGGTTGTAGCAGGATCACTGTGGGAGCAACTTGTGGACTTAGGGAGCAAACATATCCCTAACTTGATGTGAACTGTTATTTGGGCATCTGTGTGAATGTTTTGTTTACTGAAAATTTTTGTGAGGGTTTCCTGGTAATTTTCATTTTTGCTTCAAATACTAAAATTCGGACATTTAATGATAAACCAGTAGTTTCACAAATTTATTAAAACCTCTTCAAGTATGGCTCATCCAGCGAAGACCAAATTACTGCTCCGTTTCTGCCAATTTACCTGTTGTGGAATTTCTGGCTTCTCTGTTTCCAGTTCTGCTGGTTTTGAGTTGACTTTGAATGGCAGGTATGGTCTCTCAGCCTGTTTTAACCCCTTGTCCCCACCCAGGCCCGTAGAAGGGGAAGCTCCTTACTTCACCACGTGTCTTCAAATGAAAAACATGTACCACAGCACAATTTGGAACTTGATGATTTGGGTTGAATCCTTTTTGAGCCTTGTCAATAAAACGGAGTCCCACCTGATTAGACAGCTTTCAGTTTAAAGTCAGGCCTTAAATTTTTCAGTCAGGCATGGCAAGGAACAGTTGGATAGATTTTGTCAGAGAAATTGGTTTGCTTGTGGAAAATTTTGTTTCCTGTTCTGCTATGCATAATTTAGATCACAAGGATAGTGACTGACCTTTTCTCCTTGTACTTACCTACTTCTCAGACATGTTTGGGGATGGCAGAGGGGTGAATACAATAATGGAGAGCACATTTCAGGAGAGGCTAGTCCTAACCTACACATTTCCTTCTCTGTATTTTTTCCTTGGCTCTACTTATCCTACAAAGTTTAATTTCATAGTAATAAGTTTGTCCCCAAATTCATTGATGGATTTAATCAGGGAGAACCTACTCAATAGTGAACCATGGCTTCTGACTCATGAGTAGTATTTTAGGTTAGTTGAGATATAAGAAGGTGAGACCTGTGCTATAGGGAGTGTGGGAGAAATATATGGTCCCAGAGAGCATTGGCAAAGTAGGCTTGTTCTCTATTGCACACTCTTACTACAAGGAAGGAGTGGGAAGCCAGAGAGTTGTGGAAGGGGTCCTTATGTTTGTCTATTTTACTGATCCTTCTTTAGGACCAGTAACTTCCTCTCCCTTGCTTCAGATGAAACCAAAGATTCTTTTGGGCCATTTATTCTTAATCCTCATCTAATCTTAGGTCACCGGTTTTCTTGCGCTGTTAGTAGGAGTGAGACCAGACCTTTTTGGTGTGGTGTAAGAAAGGGGTGGGGTACGTGAATAATGTTTGATTGGTGAAACTTGGATTTCTCCTCATAGGGTAAAACGTTGTTAGTGGTAGAGGGGAAAAAAAAATCATTTAAAACATTAAACACATGTGTGGTGTGTGTATGTATAATATATACATATGTAGTATATATACATATGAATTATATCCATGTAGTTCTTGGGAAGTAAATTGCATTTACCCATGATGGATGTTTTCTAACCAAAGGGTTTTTTTTTTTTTTTTCTCTAGGAGGTGACTTTGGTCCAGAGACTTCCCCTCCAGTCCTGCCCCCTGGCCATAGTGGTGACTTTGTGAGCAGTCTTCCTATGGCAGAAGAGAACTACAGGGTGAGCTTGGCCAAAGGAGTGTCAATGTCTCTGCCTTCATCACCTCTGCTGCCTCGACAGTCTCACTCTGTGCAATCAAGATCAAACAAAAAATCCCCAGGTAAATGCCCCAACTAGCTCTCTTGGTTATGTAAGTCAATACATGTATTGAAATTACGCATGGGTAGTGTTTAATAGGACGTCTTCTGGTTTAGTAAGAAATCTTCTGGAAGGATTATTTTTGTTGTTTACATCTAAGACAGTGGTTATTTTTTTCTTAATATTTGAATAGATTCTTCAGTTTAGCTAATATCAAAACCAGTTTTATTGCTAATATTTGAATAGAATCTTCAGTTTAGCTAATATCAAAACCAGTTTTATTGCCCAGGCTAGACTTTTATAACATTCCAGATCTTGATATCAATAGTAGTGTTAAGCATAAGTTTTAATGCACTCTTATGAATTAGGGAATGCAGTAATGAAATCTCATTGTGGTGTATTAAAGTTTATGAATTTCGACAAGTGTGTCTGACAACAGTGTGTTTATCTACCAAGTGTTATATACTGATACATATTCTTTTTTTTATATTTAAAGATTTATTTATTTGTGCATACAGAACTGGGGTACAGGCCAGAGACTCAGGGGTGGCGAAAGACTTCACCAGAGACAGAGTGGGGAGCAGAACAGGCAGATCGACGAAGTACACTGCTGAGGGAAGCAGCGGGTGGGTCAGGAGAGGTCTGCCACACCATGTGGTCACCTCCAGGGCAGGCGGGAATCGAACTCATGCGGAAGTGGTTTCAGCTTCTTAGTGCAGTGCTTTAACCCTGCGCCACCAGGGAGGGCCTGATACATATTCTTAATTACATCATTTACCATTTGAAGAGCTATAAAATTATTTTGTGAAAATTCACATTTGTAAAGGGGGGTGTGGCAAGAGCTTACTACAGGTTCTCTGTATTAAGTGTTTCTCTCATTGTTACACTTTGTACCTAATATTACCGATAAAACCTCAACCATTGCTTAACATTGAGAGGCCATGACTCAGATGAGAGGAACCCTTTCTGCAGAGTTGATACCTGGAGTCATAAATGGGCTTTGATGTTCTTTTAGTTTTGCTCAATATTTGTTTACTGAGGGGAGGCAGAATAACTTGGGAATTTGTTGATCATAATGCCAGTGAGAGCCTTCTCATTTACATGTAAATGTGTTTGGAATCGTGTTAAGTGTGCTGGGGCTGTGAAATTGATACCTTTCTTTGGGTGTTTCCTAAGTATGTTTTATTTTATATATGGCATATGACTTACTTTAGAATCATTTACTGTGGTTTATGTGGGAGTAAAATTAAGAGGGGAAAAACCTGAAAACTGAATAGAAATAGGGCTGTGAATTGGTGAGTGTCCAAAATGTTGTATTGTTCTAGAACTGTCTTATTTTGGACAGCATTGTTTACAGTCCAGTCATTAGCTGGAACTTGGAGACCTTTTTGGTATGAAGTGATTTCCTGTGCCAAGGAATTTGACCTGTTTATCACTATTTAGGGAAATTCCTGGAATGTCCTTTTTTTCTTTCTTTGCCCTCCCTCCCCCTAGTGATACAACTTTGTCAAATATCTTCTCTTCTTTTGACTTTTAGTTCCCATACTGCCTCTCTTGCAGGTTATTACCCCATTTGAATTGCTCTCTATAAATTGCACAGGGTCTTTTGCTTAGTCTTTTATCAGCCATATAGTTTGCCTTCCTTTAATGTGAGGGTGATGGTCAGGATAAGCATGATGTCTTCTTCACATTGACCTCACCTGTATAAAACAAGTGAGTCCTGAACCTATCTGCATCCTAAGGAACCAGGCAGTTGAGGGTAATGACTAGTGCAGATTTGAAGGTTAGGACAGTTTACTTTCCTTTAACCCTCACTGCTGCAAGTGAATTGGTGCTGGGCTTTAGAATTGTGAACAGTGAAGAGACTCTACATTTAAGATAGAATTTTATGAGTAACAGTCAGTGTTGGTTTCAGTGGGAGTTTGTCTTTTAAAATTTATTTTACTAGCTGTAGTCGTGATTTTATAGATGTACATCTTGTAATGATTATCACAAAGTGGAACAGATTCTTCACAGAGTTACTGTTTATTTGGTGGTGTTTTGGTGGTGTTATCACAAGTGGCATAGCAGGCCTGGGGGACGGTGGCTGTGCAGAGGGCTCAGGCTCCCAGCACCAGCAGGGAACTCTCCGATGAGGCCTTGTCTCCTGTGTTCTGACCAAGTTTAATTCATCTTTAGTTCTGAGAAAATCTCCTAAAGGTTGTTTTTCTCCATAGGTGTAGTATTTATTTCTTCTAAGTTCTTTGCAAGGCCATATGAATAGGCGAGACTAGTTCTACAGCAGTCAACCTTTTAATGAATGGAAGAGACTATTCTCCATTTTAGATGCTTTTGTTCCAAAAGGTAATTAAACACACTAAACTGATTCTAGTGGAGCAGTGCTTGTGTATTGCTCAAATCTGTGAGCAATTAGTGTCTCATAGTGGTAATTCGACTTCATTTATCTTGGTAAATTTATTTTGAAATGAAAAGTTAAAAACAGACATTGTTGCTTAAAAATGACAGTGATTCAATACATCAGGCAACAAACACTATTTTTTCCTAGCGTCTAACATAGATCCTGTTTAATCCATGTTATTGTAAAAATATCTAGCGCCTTAATGTTCTACCTGACTGTAAAAATAGTTGGCATATGCTCATAAACGTGCACTGGATTTTAAAATAGCCATCTATTAAAAAAAGCTAACACTTTGTTGCTTATGATAAAGTGAAAGGGATGCACAGGCAGCACCTCCCACAAGCAGTGGCTCTCACTTTGCACCACCTAAGCCCTGAGCTGGGACTGTGCTTCAAAAGATCACCTGTCAGAACCATCTCTGAAATTACCTTAATGACTTTCATTCTCATTTGTAAGAAGACCCCCATTCTCTCTATTAAGAGGATGCTTTAAAAATAAAAAATAAATAAAACACAAAAAACAAAAACCCAAACCTGTTTTACTTGTTTGGAAAGCTGCTTTTCTCTAATTGATACTAATCTAGGAACTGTCAGGGAGCTGAGTTATTATTCTAGCTAAGTTCAAACACTACACACTTCTGTAATGGACACTGTATCAAGCTTATTGTTAATGAAAGTTGGTATACTAATACAATTAGTAATTAACTCCTGGGCCATGGGAACTATACGCCAGACAGAATTTTATTCACGTTGCAAAATAATGTAACCTTGAATTTTGAGATTGGGTTTCTTATTTTATACTTATTATTGCTGGCTATCTTTATTTACTCTTCTATCACATTTTTCCGTGTATTTGTTTATGGCTAGATGGGAAGTTGTTTTCTGAATATTGTTTCAAAATTTTTTGGTGTTTTTTCTAATGGAAAATACATTTTCTGACTATGAGCAATATCCAATTAAAGTAGTTCGGTGGCTGTTGCAAGGCTTTTGGATTAAGAATTCATTGATATTTGTAATGTATCTTTTTGTCTTCTGGAGAAGAGCGAAGCCCATTTCCTGTTACTTATTTATTAGTAATATCATTAGTGACTATATTTGAATTACATTCCCAGATCACTTTGGGCCCATTATGAAACAATCAAAAGGTAGGACATGAATGAGAAGCAACCTTTTAAAATCCTGTGATGGTGCAGGGCAGCAGATGGTGAAAATTGGGTGATATTGCTTTCCTGGTCCTCACCTCTCTTGGTCAGGGATACCAGGCAGTGCTGGCAATTTGCACCTTTGCAGCTTCCAGTTCCAGTTCTATCTCAGTGGACAGAGCTGATGGAGCAGTTATGAAAGCCCTGTTAGCTGGCTGTTTCCTTCAGGGAAAAGCTGCAAAGCTGACAGCCTGCAAAGTGGCAGTCATTCTGCCCTTGGGTTCTGGGACCTTGAGTTGATGTCTACCAAACCCTCTCTTTCCTGCATAGGTACAGGACAATTAGTTGTGTTCTGATTTTCTAGTTTTTAAAAAAACTTATTCCATTTAAACCTGAAACCATATGTACTGTTGTTTTTTCTTTAATATTATAACATGAGCAATTTCAATCTATTTGAAGAACTTCATACTTAATGTTCATTGTTTGAATATCCCACAATTGATTTCTAAACAAGTTTCCAATTGTTGAACATTAATATATATTCTTTAGTTTTAAAAAAAATATATGGCATGAACAAAATGTTGTTTTTCTATTAATTTCCTAAAATTTATTAATTTTTTATTTTAATAAAATGTCCTCCAAAATTTACCACCTGAAGTGCTTTGAAGTGTGTAATGCATAGTGTTAAGGACACTAGCACTGTTGTGTAATCAGTTTCCAGGACTACTGATGGACATTTTTGTCAAGTAATTTTTATACACATCTGATAACTCAAGAGGGCAGGTTCCCAGAAGTGGAATTAGTGACCTAAATGGACTGCATTTTTAAAAGATTCTTGGTGCAGTCTGCCCAGTCACTTTGCAGAAAAGCTGTATTGATTTCACATTCCCTCTAGCATTCTTTGAGATGCTTCTTTTGAGGTTGACATCATCTGGGAATCAGCCTTAAGTGGATGGGCTGGTAGGCTCTTTGTCAGGCCTAGTGACGGACTATAGAGAATTAGAGGAGCTGAGAGAAGTCTTTCTGGAGCCTTTCTCATTTGAACTTCCCTTCTGTCTGCACGTCTCAGACAATTTCCATTTTCTTCCTTCCACAGGACTGTCAGGGGAATTATCACAGCTGAGTCAGATCAAGTTCATGATCAGAAAATCACTTAGCTGGCTTCTAGTTTTTGCTTCCATGGTAGTCTGTTGCATGGGGAGGAGTGCGTCAGAGCACAGACACGTCAGGGGTGGCGAGGTCTCTGGAGCACACCAGTCAGCCCCCGTGCTGACAGGGACACGGACTTTTCATTGCTGCAGTCCTGTGCCATGTGCAGCTTATTGGTAGAGCTTGGCCAAATCCGGGTTCTCTTCCCCTGACTCCAGCACTCCCTCTGAGCCCATCTGCATTGCTCTGCCTGTGCGTTGTTGAGCCATGAGCTGTAAATGACATAGCTTTGTGTTCTGGCAGCATGCAAAGGGGAAGGTCACATGCCTCTGTG